TTTTTTTTAGTATTATTTTGAAACAGGATTGCCAGAGTTACATTATTATTGTTCCTGAATTCTTCCTTTTCTCTCCTGGAATATTCCTCTGGGCAAGCTGTGGCTTAGTTTGGACTTTTACAGAAGACATTCAGAAGCAGAGGAGATAAAAATCCAGTTAACTTAACAGGCAGTAAAGTGTAGCACTGAAAAACAAGCCTTAAGAAATGCAATAGTTAAGCCAGCAGAAAACAGCACTGTTTTCTGTAGCAATTTAGGACCGTCATAAAAGTCAAGGGAGTCTAATAATGTGCAGCAATGGAGAGGGATGTAAAAACAAGACATCTTTAAACCCTACAAATAGCCTCATCCAGCTCTGTGTTTGTAGGCAGGGTCAGCCTGCCAGGCAAGCCAATTCCCAACTTCACCAACAGGCACACACCTGCTAGGCAGGCTCCTGGCACTGTTTGCCACAATGGCACAAGCAGTGCATCACCTTCCTGGCCCCACTCCTGCTGCACAGATCCAAGCAGTGGAAGGAAAAAGACATGGCTGCACAGCCAGCAGAGCAGCTGAGGAACAGAGACCAGAAACTGGGACACGCTGTCCATCAAGCAGTGAGCCCATGACATCTGCCCTGTCATGACTGTAATCATGGGTAATTACAGTTGTATCCAAACCTGGCTTCAGCTTATCCACTTGAGCTGAGAAAAGCAAGTTAGTTCATTGGTGAAAGCATTTTGTAAAGCCTTAATTTGTGCAAGACTTCATGGTGCAAACAGGGATGGCGTGGACATGCTGAAATACTTTGAAAGGACAGTATGGGTAGGCACAGCAGTGTGATGGGCTCCAACAAGCCCACACAGACACCCTTTAACATAAATGAAGCTCAAACTGCTAGGCAAAAGCTAACTTGGACATAGATATATATGATGTGCAATCCAATACCTGTACCTCAGTGTAAACCAAACAGCAGAAGATTCCAATTAAGCTCCTGGTCTGTCACTGACAAGTTAAGTGTCCTTGAAAAAGTCACACCACTTTTCTAGACCTGTTTAAACTGCAGAGCAGGGACAGGAAAAGCAGTCTGCTATAATGGGACCTTGATCTTGACTGGGATTTCTGATGGCTCAATAATCCCAATAATAAACATTTCAGAATTACCTGGAGTCATCCTCAGGCACTTTACATATTGCATATGTATTTATTCTAATTTAGGCACCTACATGTTAACTATAGGTGAAAGCATCACCTTGTCACCTTGTGCTTTTATTACCCAAAGTCCAAAGAAACTGCACATCGTAAAAGCCACCTCATTGAATGAAAGAAGCTGAAACACAGGAGCTGGTAGAATGCCTTTAGCTATAAATCTGCATGGTTAAAACTGGTCTCTCTTTCCTCCAGTCTGTTCAAATTGGCTTTTATCTATATACTGAGAAACCCTGCTCCATACACAGTTTGAGGTAAAACATCCATGGTAGGCACTTGGAGCATCCAGGGGCATTGATAACTGAAATAATTGGCATACTACCACCAGAGACTCGGAAAAGTCACCTTCCAACTACAATGGGTTGCTTCTGACAAAAGTCAGCCGAGGCACATAATATCGTTGTTGCTCATTAGCTTTCCATTAATGATAAAATTCCTGATTTCAGTATTTAATACACCTCAGAGATCACAGTGCATAATTTAATGTGCAAGCAGATAATTTGCTGATCAAGGTACATGTTTCGCATTAAGGAAAATTGTTGCACACTTTGGTTATTAACACACACACACACATAAGCCAACTCTCTTCTACCAGCAAAGCATTGTCCTCTCTGGATTTTAGTTGACAGCTGAACCCTCTACATCTCATTCATTTTACATGCAGTATAAAATCTCTGTCATCTCTACTTGAGCTGTTTTCCATCCTCTCTCCTTGCATATACATAATTTCAGGACACCCTTGGTAATGGTAAAGCAGCCCATGTTGAGATTACTGTGTCACATGCCTCCCAGTATTATCTCTCTCTCAGCAGTTTATGGGTCTATACCAAAATCCACTCCTTGCCTGGAATTTTAGGCATGGAGAGCAGTGATTTGGGCACGAACTATGCTTTGGGGATTTCTGCACTTTAATAGTGAAGCATAAAGGCACCTGGATAAATGGTAGATACAAATTGCTTTTGAACTGGTATACTCAAGACTTTGTGGAAATGGATAGGAACATCACTGTGGAGTTTGACTAGGGAAGAATTCCAGGTAAAAACCAGAGACAGCAATTCAAAACCCTCACTTTGCTCCAGGGAGCAGCAAAACTCAGGTAGCAAACCTTGCAGTAATTCAAAAACTAGAAAGGTAATTTTTCACTTTCCTGCTCTATTAATTCACATGCTTTTTTTTTTTTTAAGGGTGAGCAAAGAGATCAGTCAATGGACAAGTGCTCCTAACTACTCAACAAAAAGCAGGGGAGGAAGCAGGCTAGGGCAGCTAGTCCTGAGTTATAGCTTGGTAGCATTTCAATAGATCTCACTACTATTGTCTGGGCTATATAACTTACAACTGCTGCTGATCAGATGATAAACATCCAAAACAATTTTATTTACACTGTAAAAATTGGACAGAGTATCAGCAAGCTCTGGAAGTCCAGATAAAAGGCTAGGTTATTCCTGGAGGTAACATCCCTCCCCTAAAAACAAGGATCAGACATCACAGGGTTTATGTTGAAACCATTCTGCAACATTTTGCCTGATCACTACCCATTAAGATGCATGTAAACCCCTGTGAACCACTTAGCAAATTTTCCCCAAGTATGAATTTGTAAGATTTTTCAAGACCTCTGTATGCCTGAGATCCCAGAAGGTACCAGCAACTTGAAGAGGTTTTTATATTTCCTCTCTATCTTCAAGCTCAGTCAAATTAATAGGGCTACACTGGCTCAGCCAATCATTCTGGCAGAAACTGAGCTGGCTATTAATGATTTTAAACAGAAGCAGCCCCTGGGCTAGAAGAAATCCCAGTGGAGCAGTGCTCCAAATTTTAGCAAAAGCCAAACTTCTTGTAAATGTTTCACAAACTTTTTTTCTTTTTTTTTTTTTTTACCCTTTCACTCTCAATTCCCCCCAAATGCTCTCTGTGGGCAGCAGCATTCCTTACCTTCTGTGTGCAAAGTGACTGATCACATAGAATCACAGACATATTGTCCCTTTTCCTTCTTTCTGTTAAGATATTTGGGAAACTGTTCTCTCCTGAGGATAGCTATAATGGAATGTTCTTCACACATGATTTCACATGACTATTAATCATTACAGGCTTTGTCCTTTTATTATCATACCAGTTAAACTTACTCTCCTTTCAAAGCCAAGGAAAGGCAATTTGTGTTCAGGAAAAAAAGAGGAGACCCTGGCCACTCAGCAAGTATAAGAATAAACAAAGGAAAGGGAATTCATTTCTAAAACCCACTGGAAGGTTTTCAACAGCTCACTAGTCTAGATATTTCCTTTGTTCGCCATCTAATTTTGGGTCAGACTAGGGGAACAGATCTGTTGTTGTCTCATATGCTGACTTTAAAATGCTGATGGTGCTGGAAGCAGGGCCCAGGCTCCCCTCACACCCTGCCAGCAGAGCATCCTACCCACTATATTACAACGTCAAGTCCTTGTGTGTGGCCACCCCCTGCCCTCTCCTCCCAGTGACTCCTGAGCATTTTGCTGTGCCATGGCATTGCTGTGACACCAGACAGTATATTCCTGCTCTGCCTGGTTCCTGGGAGGCGAGAATCCTCCTTGTCTTGGTCTGACTGCTCAGGGTCAGGAGTGTCTCTCTCACCAGCAGTGCATTAACCCAAAAGTTGACTTTTCTAAAGTAAGGCCATGGGCAATGCTCCCATACCAGGGGATCTTCCCATACACCTTGTCACTCATTTGTTTGTGTGGGTCACGCACCCAGATTCAGCTGCCACAGAAGGAAATGTGCCTAGGATGACATGTCTCCAACCCAGAATGGAAAAGACACGGAGGTACAAACCTATGTGAAGACAGAGCTTGCTAGAGCACTCCAGGCACACACACATTGCTGTTCTGCAAAAACGGTGAGACTAGAAAGCCCAGAGATCCCAATTTTTACCTCAGTTTCCTGCACTTAACCATTATAGCTGAGAGACAACAATCCTTACCTACTTCAGGAGTGGCAAAGGGGATCTGATAAGCCCAGCTATGCTTCAGAGCAATGCATCTCCTGCTAGTCCTTCCTGCTTATCTGTAATGTACCACAAGGATAATTTCCTTTAGCACACTTCGAGAATTGATGGAGGTACCTGCATTAAGAGCTTCAGCTCTACCCATTGCAGATTGAGGGTTACGCCCACTAAATCCCACGGATAGATGCCTTACATTCTTCCCACACCTTGGACAACTAGAAGAATCTCTCGTTTATTACTAGTGACTCTATTTCTCTCCTGCTAGGATGCTAGAATCAGAAAAGTAACTGTCCCACTACAGCTATCAAGTTCTCAAAACCAAAGTCCAGATCCATCCAAATATTCAGGCATCTACTTTTCCATTTAGCCAGCGATAGACTCTCATTCCTACAGGAGATGGAGAAAACTGAAGCACAACGGTGTAACCACCCATCATTGTGAGCCATCCCTCACCCCAGCTGTGCCAGCTTAAGTTCAATGTTTTGCAGGTGTCTGCACAGCAGCCTTCCAACTAAACCACTCTCCAAACCTCTTAAAGTCAGAAATTTTAGGTTTTGAAGCCTTAAACGCAAAAAGTGCACTTCACAACAGCTCCTGTGGGTATTATAAGGAGCAAAAAAATGCTTTTAAGCGCTCTTAAGAGAGAAGAAAATGACAATGAAATTGAGAGGAAATGGAGAAAAGGATAATCATACCACAAGTTGCTGCTCTCATCTCCCAACTGCTTCCAAGGCTGCAAGAACCCAGGCTGCCGGCAACAGCTGCCACCCTATTAAATTTAACAATTTACAGGTGCTCGGAGGGAGCACTTGTGAGCAATTAGTCGAGCAAATTCACTTACTTCAAGATGCAGGGCCTCCTCGGCTGCTGCAGTTTGGCTGCGCTCTGCTGCCTCTGCCAAGTGGAGGACTGCCAAGTTCCTCCCGACCAGGGGCTGGCGTGTGAATACAAAGTGAGCTGGGAAAGCCTTGCTCCCCACCAGGGTCCTGCAAGGAATTTTATAGGTGTACTGGAAAGTATAATGGGCTTTTCTCACTCTGCAACTGCTCTCTGTGCATAGAGGGGGTCGGTGCAGTGCATTAAGCCTGTAGGAAATACATCAGCCCTGGAGCTGGGCAAGCAACCTGTTCCCACTCTGGCCTTTGATCCAAAAGTCTTCTGTCTCACTGGCTCTTTCCATGCCTAGTATGATGGCCTCTCCTTGCTTCTACTACTTGACAAAAATGTTAATCAATAGCAATAAGCATTGTCCAGCCAAGACATGGCTATAGTGAGGCCACATATTATCAATTCTTTGCTTACTCAAGCTGGAAAGAAACATAGATAGTTTGCTGCATACAGTCCTCTGCAACTCAATGAAACTACTTGCAATTATTTCTTCCTGATGAAATTCCATCCCAGTGATTTAGGAATCAGACAAAAGAAAACTGGGATGATTGTTTCCACTGTGAATAAATAAACAATAATGCTTCATGATATGATGTCTCTCTTTGTGCTACTCTTTCTCTTCTAGTTAATCTCATTATTACAAATTAGGGAGTTTCTCTTGCCATTAAAAAGGTGTATTCTAACACATACAAAGGAAATGAACAAAGTGTTTTGCTTCAGATCTCAGCTGCAGTCAATTTATTCTTTGAGCCTCTTAACTTAAAAACCGTAAGACTTTGGTGTCTTTGCCTGTATCAAAGTCACACACAAATTGAAATGGCCCCTGCTCACATCCACTCATATGCAGTAACACCACTGCTCTCATTTTGCAATGACCTGGAAATACTTCTGTATTCTCTTTCTTTCTACCTGCTTTTTAGTCACATCTGCCAATTAAACAGCAGAAAAATTCGAAGTACCTTCTAATTGAGGGTAATCCAAAATGAAAGCTGGCTTGAAGGCTGAAATCAAAGAGCTGAACAGGATATCTTTACTTACACCAAACAGTCCCATTATAGCATCTATGAGAAATTATTGCTTTCCTCCATAAAAGCCAGGGTCACGCTTGCTGTATAGGAATACAAAGCCACAGAGCACAGTGCAATAAAAAACGTTGGAGTATAATCCTTAGCTACTGCAAATTGGCATCCTACTCTTTGGTGTATGCTCAGTGACAAGGTTCCCAGAAATATCAGAATATCAGACAAGGCTCAGAAATATCCTTTTCCTCTGAGATTTCCTCAAGTTGGGCAAGTGTGGTGCCTGAGAGTAAGATGAGAGGGTCTGATGTTAGAAACCCCTTGCTAAATCAATGTTTTATTTAACAGGATAATTAGAGCAAATACCACAGAGACTTTGGATGAAGTTGCACATTTAAACCAGACTGGAAACACTTAAATTTCATGTTTAAAATTGTCAGCACTCAGAGAACTGGCTGTGATAGTTGTTAGGTCTTGTTAGCACCTTCAGGAGGAGCTTGGTTCTTGGTCTCTGTGCAGTGGTGATACAGCATGCCCCAAGGGCAAACACCTCTGAAGCCAGCAGGGATATGGGCTATTAAAAACAGCAGAGCCCCCCACAAACCCATAAAAGGCCAAAATTAACAATTTCATCTCCCTGAACTCCTACAAACTATGAAGAGGATGATGACCAAGACCTATATAAGTAGGTGCCTTCATTAGACATCTGAAAGTACTGGATGGATCCAGATGAGGTGCATGGGAACTGCTAAATTTAGCAGTAATGCTGCCTGGCTGTAGAATAACAGGAGAGCAACAACAAGTGAAGATGTCTGCCATTTCTGCTGTGACTTACTCAAAGAATTTTGGACTTCCTTAGCCATGGCAAGCAATAGGGTGCACACTGCAAGAGCACTTTCAGGTGCTCCAGCTCAATTTATTATGAGATTCAAAAATCAAATGACAGTTTCTCATATTGTAGCTCTTAACTGAGTGGTAACCCTGAAGCTTCACTTCCTATTTTCATTCTAGCTGCTGTTTATTGCCAGAATCCCAGCAAAAATCCCTTGCTTTATGACACACCAACTCATGCCTAGGTTAAGCTTTAGGCTGCTTGAGGTAACATCCATTCAGAGATGTGTAGGCTTAGTCACCCAATAAATAACATTTTTACCAGCTAGGCATCATGCCCTTATCAGATTGTGCATGCATTGTATTCTCTAGTCTGCAAGTGCTTTTCTGGGATCATTTAGAAGCAGCATTAGAGGCAAGAAAAAATCCTTACTGAGGAATTTCACTGCTAGAAGGATTTCTTGGCTGCAAATCAGCTATACTGTTAAAAAACAGGTAGGCTTTAAGGAAACCAGCAACTCATATTATTTGAGCAGACATCCTCCTAAACTCAGCTGGGTACTGCAGTTTATTCCAGAACACTCAATCCATGATATAACTCGTGTGCAAATAGCAGAGAGCCAGGAGAGGGTGCTCAACAATAAGCAGAAGATCCTGGACACTGATCAGGCCCTGCCAACAGGGACACTCACACACAGCCACTGACATGGTACCGACATGGAAAACAGAGAGCTTCTTAATTCATATTTTAACATTTTCAAAGGGATTTTAATCTAGATCTTTCAAAAACATTTCTGAATACTGACAAGTCCACTGGATAAGAGTTTCAAAATGTGGGATTCTGTCTGCTGGACTGTCAGCATAAAGAATTAAGCTTTCACCCAAATCCTGTATGTCCTCCCAGCAAAGGCTACTAAAGCCTCAATTAGTCCACAGAAAACGCCAAGCATGAAGATCTTGAAGGATCTGAAAGTGGATTTTGCACTTAACTTGCTTGGACAAAAATATTATGTCCTAAATCCCCAAAAGTATGAAGATGCTCATGGTTTTTGGTCAAGCAAAGTTTTCACTGCTTTTCTTTTTCCAATTTTGAACAAATTGATGCTAAATGGAATAAATCTATGGTTTTCAACATTTGATAAATAAGGTGGTACTTTTTCAGTATAGTATATATATATATATATCACCTTTTTGCAGGGAGCTTTTAAAATAGAGAAAAAAAAACAATTACTGCTTTTGACATTTAAATATCAGATTAGAAATAATTACTACTATTATTGTCTTTAAAAATTATTCTTCAGCAAGAAAGGCAGAACCTTCAGTGCGGACACAGCTCCTGCAGGAGGCAGGCAGGAACCCCAAGTAAAGGTTATATCTCTACAGTGTTGATCTGTGAGGCTGAGCAGGATGGGAATCTGGAGCTATGGGGGTTACTAACAGCACACCCTTTATCTTGCTAACTGCAAAGCTTATTTTGCAGTCTGTGTTGTTTCTAGCACAAAAGGCTATGTAGGATTACTTTTGCCATAGCAGAATGAGAAGGGAGGGGAAAAAAAACAACAAAGGATGTGTGAATTAATCAATTAAATTTGAAGCAGGACTTTTTAATGGAGTCTGCTGTCAAAGCTGCTCAAAATGGAAAATGGTGAAAATTCAGGCACTCTGCACTGAGTAAACAACTATAATTTAGATTTAAACAACATAAGAATCAAAAGTTGAGTCTATTTTCTGATTCTATAGCCCTGCTTTTCCTCATTGTTTCTTCTTGAGCCTCCTACTGTTTATAAAATTAAAAAATCAAGCTGAGCTGAACGTCCAATATCTTCACTATGATTGAATCTCTCTTTCTGTGCATGTAATTGACATCAACAGCAAAGAATGTTTTCCTTAGCTAACTAACACCCACTTTGGTTTCATTTCATCTGCCTTTGCATGGGATCTTTCAGCCCTTGGAAAGAGCACCACTGGAATGACCTCCTTGTTGGTAACCTCCTAGTAATTCAGACAGATATTCAAACCATCTCTGCCAGATAAGTGATGGAAGAGTTTCATCCATGATGCTTGCAAGATAGCTCTGGAAAAATACCTCTTGAGGCTATCTGACAAAGTCTCTGTGCAAGGTTAAAGGTCCTTCTTCACTTTATCATCTTTGCAGGGCACATAGACATTGTTTTCACCAGCAGTTTTAAGTCACTGTAATTTTAAAGCCCTCTGTGGCATTATGACTCTTTTATTTGCATGCATGAATAATAAGTGCACAGATAATATTGCTGCACTTTCTGAACAGCATCCACCTTCACAGAATCTCATTTAATGACTTCTGAAGATATAGACTGCAAAATCTAGTGTCTGTACCAGGCTGTTTTAAACAGCATTAGTAAGACCCAGAAGTGAGATAAGTTCCTATAACATATTCTAACCAATCAAAAACCTAATTAAAAAAAAAAAAAAAATCCACAACCAAAAAACCAACCAACCCCAAACTCCAAAATCCAGGAATACTGCATTCTCTTTAGTCTCTATCATTTTTACTTAAGGGATCTCAGCTGATATTACTGCTTAGTGCTTTAGGAAATGGCTATTTAAACCTTTACATATGAACTTCCTCATATATGCTGAAATATATCCCTATAAAGACACTGGTGGTGGAGTGAAAGGCTAATTTCCACAGAGAAATATTATTATGCTTTATTCAGAGACAACAGAGCTGTCTCTGGGCTAACAGTAAAGACTTCGGATGCTTAATTGGAGTAGTAAATAGGTTAATGCTCAGACTGAATAGTTCTATTAGGTGCATTAACCTGTAAGGGATGCTTTATATTTTTCACTTCTGTATATCCTGTTTGTACACAGGGTAACCCAGAGAATGGCAATTATGACATGTGCAGGAGAACTACATACATGTTTAGCAGAAAATATAAAAATATGCCAAACTCATAAATAGCTCATTCTAGATTTCTTGATAATATTCAGATTTAATCAGGTATCAACTAGTTAGTTCTGTATTTATATCTTCCTGGCAGAAGGCTGGATCAGTAGTAGATGGATATTTGCCATCTGTTTTCAAAATCTCTGAAGATCATCTTAAATACTCAGATCAACAGGATCCTTACCTTGTTGCTGATGTTAACAACCACAATTCTTTGATGCAGAGCTTTAATTGAATTAGATGCTTCAGCAGTCACTGATTCATTATTCTGATACTCAGTGCAA